TCCAGGTTAAACAAAAACAAAGTTGGTAATTAGTTGTGGTTAGTTCTGAGTTTTTGTTTGTTTTTGTTAGGGTTTTTATTTAACATATGTGATCATTCACTGTAAAACACTTTACAAAAGTCTTTAAAACATGTAGAGTTTCTTCCCCCTTCTGAAAAAAAGCCTCATCTTTAGCATCCCATGCAAGAAATGGTTTAAACGGAATTATCGGCATAAGATAAAAGATTACTCCGGAAAGCTTTTTGTTTGGCTTTTTTGTGTGTGCTCGGTTTGTTTGGGGTTTCTTTAATCCTTTCCTGTGGCATGCCACCAAAACTCAACTCTTAACTTCAGAATAACTGAACTGGGAAAACATTCCCTCATCTTTCGGTAAATGCCCTACAACAACCTACGTACCCTCTCACAGATAGGCTTCCTTATAATTTTTTTTCTGTTTTCTCCCAGAAATAACCTTCCATAATTTAAATTATAATTCACTACTGCTGCTCCTCCTTTCACTCTCGCCAAGCGCTTTTCCACGAGCCATACAGAAACCGCTTTTTTTTTTTTTTCCCCTCCCCATTAGCGCTGCAGTTTTCAGCGACCGAGTTCCCGAAGTGGCAGCGCCGGCAGCCCCTTCCCGGCGGGGGAAGCCGCCGGAGCTCCATTGAGGATGTTCCCATCGCTTCCTTTGTACGCCTGTGCCTCGCCTGTCGCACCCTCCCTCCCAGCCCGTCTCCCGCGGCACCCGCGCCAAAGCCATCGCGGAGCAGCGTGTCCCGACCTGAGCGAGGCAAGAGCGGCTGCTGTTCCGCAGGGGCAGCGGGGACCGGCTTCAAATCCTCCTTCAGCTCCAGGACTTTCTGCCAAGAGAGCACCGAGCGCTGTTACTGCGCGCCTGCCCCTCGCTCCCGCCCGATCCCCACCTCCGAGCCCGCAGGGGTGGGAGCGGGGGCTGGGACGGGGGAGCGGGCGGCTCAGCCTCCCGCTCGGCATCGTCGCCGCCGCCAAGTCGCAGAGAAAAAAAGTTGGCGAGGAGCGGCTCGGGGTGGGCCCGCGGGGCTCCCCCTTGCCGGTCCCGCGGCGGCGGGGAGAGGCGAACAATGCCGGGCCGGGCGGGTGGCCGGGAGGGGATGGGACGGGATGGAATGGGATGGAATGGGAGCGGGGGGGCGGCCGGGCCGGCGGGAGCGGAGGCACAAAGCGCACACTCACCTGAGGAGCGCGGCGCGGCCGGCGGGACGGCGAGCCCGGGCGGCGGCGGGGAGGGGGGGGGCGGCCGGGCAGGAGTTTGGGAGGAAAAGGGAGGGTTTTTATTTCCCCTGGAGTTTGAAAGGAGGAAGTGAGGAATGCGAGGAATGAGAGTTGGTATGAAATGAAGGCGGCCGAGGGAGGGAGGGACTGCCGGCTAAGGCTGGGGCTGGGACGGGGCTGGGAGGGGACTGGCGGGGGCGGGGGGCAGGGGGGGGAGGGGGCGGGGGGCAGCGGGAGAAGGGCCGAGGCGGAGTTGGGAACAAAACCCAGCGGGGCCGGGCGCTCCCCGGCCGGGGGCCGAGTGTGACCGGGGCGGAGGGAACGCGGGCAATGGCCGGAAGAGGGGCCCGCGGGGGCGGGGGAAGGAAACTCCAGGCGGGCGGCCGGGAGCGGGGGAAGGGGGCGGCTCGGGAGCGGGCGGGACGCCGCCGCCTCCAGGAATCGAGAGCCGGCACGGCGCCCGGCGCGGGAGAACTCGGAGTGCGCGGCCCGGACGGGCCGGCCTCGGATCCCGGGGAACGCCGCCGCTTGCCTGGTGCTTTCCCTGAGGCGATGGGCCAAGCGCCCGTGAGGGAACACCCCCGCGCCGCCCGGGCAGGGACGCGGCTCCCGGGCTCCCCCCTGCGCGCCAGGCGCGGCCCGGCGGCTGCGGAGCCCTCAGAGCCCGGCCGTGATTCCCGGGCAGAGCCCGGCCGTGATTCCCGGGCAGTGCCCGGCCGTGATTCCCGGGCAGAGCCGCGGAGCTGCTGCGAAACAAGCAGCCCCAGCCCGACACGGCAGCCCAGCCACCCGCAAAGCGGTGTCACCCCGTGGCTCTTCTCAGTCTCACGTCGGAGCTGCTCCTTTCCTACCTGTTCATACAGGAATGCCGGCGTGCTGCGCTAGAAAATGCTGATTTGGGACTGAGAATCGCACGAGGGTTGAAAAGCCACATCCCCAAAACAAAAGCAGTGGGAAACCAGCAAGTTTAGTAAATGTAGCTACGTCCCAGCAGCAGCTCGGGGAATGCGGCTGCAGCAGCAAACCAAACTTTTCCACGGCTCCGGCAGGTGATTTTGTCACAGGTGGCTGGAAGTACCTGTGAAGAGTGATGTCATGGTTGGCTTTCTTTAAAACTTCAGCATATCGGAAAAACTGAGTTTTTTTGTAAGAACCCAAAGCTAAAAAAGTTCCTAACTCTTTCAAATTGCAGTGAAAATTGCAGAGACCTGGAAACAGATCCTAAATGTGTCCTAAGGCCTCAGAAACCAGACAGCAAAACCCATCAATTTCATAAAAATAAGGTTTTCTGATACAACTGTAGAAATTAAGAGTATATACAGTATAAATAAGATGATGTCACAACATTCAGTGAAATGATTTTGGGGGTGTGTGTTTTGTTTTTTTTTTTATATAAAGCCCTGTAATTAATTAATTAATTTAGTCACTGTTTCTATTAAGAATAGTTAAAACATAATTGAAAAGCTATATTATATTTTCTATTAAGCTGTATTAAAAAAAAAAAACAACAACCCTATGTATATGAAAGGTAGTTCACTTCTCATCACATGTAATCAGTGGGAATTCTAGGCCAGGTCTCATAATTATGTGACTAACATTGTTTTGCTCCCATTTCCTTGCCAAACCAACAGAGCTCAAAGAGAAGGAATTGAAACCTATTCCTTCCTGTGAATCATCACACAAATTGTTTGCAGGACTTCAGTCAGTTGCAGATGGAAATTCACTCAGGAGAATACAGGTTTTTTAGTGGTGGGTTGTTTGGGTTTTTTTACTGGAGGTAATGCAGAACTAAACAATTCTGCTTAGAACAGAAAGCTGAGAGAGTTGGGCAAACTTATCAGATTAATTCCCCAACCTTATTTGTACTCTGTCAGAATTATTTTCTTATGCAGTTTTTAAAATAAAGCCCTTTTTTTCCCCCCATAGTAGATTAGTATTACTTTCCCTATGATAAATAAAGGGCTCAATTCAAATAGGCTTAAAAAAAAAAAAATCCTTTTTCACCAAAATTTTCAGCTGTTTTGTTGCAGACAGTGCAATGAGTCGCCTTGTATGGAGACGTTAATTGAATCAAATTAAATGATCAAAAATTTCAGCCTCTAGAATATATTCACCCATTTATGTATTCTTTAAATTGAGCAGGTTATGGTTACCAGAGCCTTTACCTTTAAGCATGTTGGTGAAGTTAGTTTGCTTCTGAATTTTTCTCCCATTGTGGAACAGAAGACGTGACCTCCAGCTTCCAGTGAGGAAATAATAATCAATATAGAACACCTTAAGGGATGCAATGAGAAAACAGAAACTATAAAGTGTACAGTTCAAAAGACACAAGAGTTAACACTGGTACAGGATCTCTGCCTTCTTTCCTGGCAGGGCTTTCAGTTGTTGCCATGAGTTGTTCCTCACAGTGAGAGCCAGCTGTTTTCCCTGTTAGTAAGGGAGCCCTTAGACATCAGTGTTGCTTTTCTGCTCTTTTTCATAACTGTATGTTGGGCCAAATCTCTTGGCCCTAGGATTACTTAAAGGACTTTCTTAGTTCTGAATTAGTTCCAAACTGCAGTTAGGTACAACAGTTTGATCCTGTGACAGATGAGATTCCTGACTGTGAAAGAAGGAATCTGTCCATAGCTCTGTTTTACAGGACTACGCACAAACTCTTAACTCAACTTGTGAGTCACAGGGAAGAATTTTTCTTGTCTTCTGTACCAGGAACAGGAAACCTAACTCAATGTCACCTGAGAGACTTACAGAGCTGTTAATCCCAGCAAGCAGAGGGGCACACTAATTTATTATTAGTATAGGTATAATAATTATGCTAACAGCAGCAAAACCTCCTGTCTTACTGCCACCAAATTCAGCAGCAATACTTCAGTGAGAGTGAGACTCAGCCCTAAAAGCACAAGAAATCATTCACTTTTTTTGGAAGCCCAAGAGCCTATAGCAGCCTAGGAGCCATTTCCATCTGCTAGGCTTGCCTTTAGGATTCCAATTTAACCATTGAATATGCTTCTTTAAGGTCTCTCTGGGATTTCTAGAACGTAACATTCGCACATAGGCAACTAATATTACTGTGTTAAGAAGAAATGCCCAGTCGTGTTTCCCGCTTAAATTTTCTCTCTCCTCTAAGACTAATTTGGCTCAGATGGAAATAGTGGAAAAAACAGAAGTTCTTGAAGAATAGGGCTTGCATGTTGACAGCTGTGCCAGTTTTTGCTTATCAGATCCATCATATCTCCTCCTACTGAAGTTCATTCATCTCTTGGTGGAAATAGGAAAATATAATCACTTCAACTTGATGCTCTTCCTAGCCTTGTCTGACTTCAGTATCTGATTCAGAAAATATATGTTAATGTGCTTCAACAGTTAAATGGGCTCAGATGGAAGGTGGGAAAATGCAGTAAGGACCATCTCAAATGCCCTAGCTGGATTCTGGGAACAACATTGAAAACCTGGAGCAGAGAGATTGAACTAGCTTAAACAATCAAAATAGAAACCAAGAATTACAGCATAGGACTTGATAATACTCGGGGAGGGAGGGGGTAAAAGTATTAGAGACACTACCCTTACATTTATTCCCAGATTTCCAAGTGTATGGGAAAAATATCCAACACCACAAAGAAATGGAACTGAGAATTACAAAGGAAAAGAGTAAGAAGACAGATGATAGTCAAGAAATAGAAAGAACCTGAGGTAATAAGTCACAGAGAAGGAACAAAGTACACCCACAAGTGACAGCAAAATAAAAACAGTCATTTAGAATTAAAGACTTTTCAATATATAAATTAGTTTATTTTCATTTAGATATAAAAGTTATAAATACAATTAATGTAAAACAGTATCTGATAAAGACAACTGAATCAGTTCATCTGTCTGCATAATTTGACTGAGGGGCTGTGACATGATCATTTGAAGAAATAGCTTGAAGAGTCACTGCTGACAAGGCTAATTAAGTAAAAGGATGCTTTCTGGGAACACAGAAAATCATCTTGAATCAGAAATTAGCATCCTACCTTCAGGTCACCCCAAAATAACATAAGGCAGTTTCTTTCACACATTCCTAGTCAGAAGAATAATCAGACAGGTACACAAACCAACTTCCTTTCCTGGAAGGGCAGAGGAATGCAGAACCATCACCCAAGACTTTAGAAGAGCACAGTTGGAAAGCACTGTCAGGTGTCATCCTCAGCCTGATGAGCAGGAAGGCACAAAACAGATCCATCAGCATTCAAGTTCTCTTCACAGACTGCTTTTCTGATAAGATCATCTCAAAGAAATATCTCAGCATCTACTGAAAAATGCTCATCTGAAAGATACAAGAGCTGGACTTCTCAGCCTCAGTTCATTATTTTACAGTTACATACAGCATTTACTTTGTGATTACAATCATTGTTCTTTCTGGCAATATCAGAAAACGTCTTCACAAAGTTTTGTTAATTTGAAAGCACAAGTGATATCTACTGCTGCAAAGACTCCAGAGACCAAAAGCAATATATCTGCTCTTTGCAGCTTGAAACAGAGTTAGTCTGCTGACAAGGACAATATCCAAAGCTGGAGAACAGCTAATTCTTGTCTCAGTAAAGGGACAGACTTCTCCAAACCATTGTGAATATAGGTAATAGGCAAGAAGCAGGCAAGACAGTAATTGTTCTGTGCTTCAATACACAGATGTGTGCACTGAGGCCTCCAGGCCACACCGTGCTGCAATCCACTCTGGTGAGTTAAGGCCACATGAATCAAGTGTTCCATGCTGTGACAGTCTCCATACTGTACATCCAGTATTAAAAATGGAACATTGGAAGGACACATTGCAAAGCCTTGCGGTACAATTACATTAAAGTTACTGATGCCTTTGAAAATACCTGTAATCTCTTTTTGAGGTAACTCCTTCTTATAGGCAGGTTAAAATTGTTTATACAAAATCTACTTTACTATGTCATGCCTTGAGATAATCTCACATTAAAAAAAAATAAAATTGGTCACAAACTTATACCTAAAATGTAACAAATTTCATGAACAATGGCATAATTTAAAAATTTCTCATCAGTTTACAGTCTAGATTCAACCAATCAGAACACTGCTTTTCAGAAGTGGTACTGTATATTGTTACAATACTATCTTCTGCCAAATTCAGCCAGATTCTATCATCTATTCAGTCTCATTTTTCACATGGTTAGAAGTAACAGAAGTAGCAATGAATATAGTATCAGCCACTGAAAAGGGAGTGTTTGAGATTTGATTGTTCTTCATTTGGTAAAAAAGACTGTCAAGGGATGGAGAGAAATTAGAATACTGGAAGGGAAATGGAGTATCAATCTTAGCAGACAATCATTCCACAGAGTAAAAGTGTTGTATTAGAGCCAATTCCAGCTGTTCTTTTTTTTTTTCTGAGTTCATCTGATAAGGAACTCTTGATTAGTATCATCTCTGAGGCTTTCTGGAAGCTTCAAGGTAAATGAACATTTAGCCATTATTTTTCTAATCCTAGCTGCAAGGAGTTCCAATAAGTGGGCTTAGCCCACTCCCATGCAGCATCTGTAAACAAGGATTCTAAGAGCAGATTCAACACCATTGACAGAAACATCACCTAGATTTCTTGGTCTTCCACAGTCCATGCAGAGGCTGCTCCCAAAGTAGTCTGCTGTCAACTCCCACAATGCTCTGAAGGCTGGAATTGGTTTTCTAATAAGCCTGCAGAAGTCCGTCCTCCATTTCCCTTCCAATATGCTCTTCATTGCTACACCTGCAACTCTTACAAGATGTAGGGGTGGGATTGAGTTCCATGTTTCATGTCTGTTGTCCCTCACTCACAGACTAATTTACTGTCAAAGCTGGAGAGTCCAATAGCAAAGGCCTGAAGAGCACAGAGAGGGTAATTATAGTCCAGAGTGAACACATCTTCTGCTACACGACCAAACTGCATCACGATGTAGTCAGCTGGGGAGAAAAGACATTCAGAGATGAACAATTTCACAGTGCAGCCAAAGGAAAAAATCCACAATAACAACAACAACAAAAAAGCAAAGCAAAACCCAACCACAAACCCACCCTCACATATGCCAGTCCCAAATATATGTGGTTGGTGTATCCGTCCTTTCTCACCAGAGTGGCCTTGAAATCTGCCCTCTAGAGTGACTTTGCTATTCTAGAGATTATTTTTCTTCTCAGAACCAAAGCTCAAACCATTCTTTTGCTAGCCTGAAGGTGCTGTATTAAACTTTTTCTTTCACTTCAGGAAGCTTTCATTTCCCCCCTCTTTTGATGCAGTTATGGAGAGCAGAGTCTGCATCCACCCCAGAAAAAAGAAGGCCTTATATAATTTTCCTGACAGCTCAGAAGTCCCCAGTAATAACAAATTAGCTTCCTTTAGCCAGTTTCCCTCTTCTAGGAAGGGTGTCCTATTCCTCCCAACACTCATTAAATAAGTTTTGTTCTCCCTGTTTAAGTAAGTCCCACACACTCTCCACCAGACTCTTACGGTCATTGTCATGGACAATCTGGAAGTTCTTCACTGAGGCCTGAGTGACCCTCCCATGGAAGTTCAAAACATAGGACTGAGTATCATCATTCCAGACTGGAGCCTTGTTGTGCAATTCAATGAGGTTCTCTAAATTTTTGTTTTGCCATTTTGACAGCAGACCCTCATGCTCCTGTTCAGAAGAAAGAAATGTATTTATCAGTTTTGGAATGGCCCTGCCTCTGAGTACCACCTCTCTTGTGTGTGCACTCTGTCACTTAATTCCCTGTTTAATGAAACACACTGATATCACTTAAACTCAGTCCTACTGAATACTTTCTGCAAGTACCAGGAAGATACTTTCATAGATTCCCAGTCCAAGCATTCCTTTTCATTCAATGAAATAAAAAGAGTGACAGGGAAGGAAGTGTGTGTACAGGAAAGGGAGCAATTCAGAGTGCACAGATAATTGCCATCCTGCTGGCATAAATCCCTTCTGAGTCTCAATCTTTCTCTGATCCTGTTGCATCCAGTTTCTACTTCTAACACTGTAAACTTTGAAATAAAAGAAAATAATCTACAATTAACTGTGTAGTGCCAGGCCCTGAGGTGCTTCAGTAGAAAGTCCAAAGGCTGCAGGAAAATGTAAGGTTAAAGGTCATCCTGTTGGGTCTAATGAGTGATGCCCAGTATGAAAACCAGAGAGAAATAAAACAAAAAAAACATACAAAGAGGAAGTAAACCAGCATATTCAATTTGACAAACTATGAATTACAAGGGGATTCAGGTTGCAGTGAAACATGACATATGATTTAATTTTAAAAGTTCTGCAACAAATAATATATGTTAAAACTCTTCTTTCTGCCTTTTGGTCTTCTCTCACCAAACACAAATCCTACATTAAGGGAACCTAACAATTTTCATCACACACCTTAACATACCTTCAGATACTGTTCTGTAAGCTTTTAGCTCTAATGTCGCTCATATATATGAGAAATCCTCACTAGTCACAACAAAAATCCATCTTCTCCTCATCCCTCCTTCAAGAATCCTCCTTTCCTGCTACTCCTACAAAAAGGCTAACAACATTCTGATCAAAAATGTATTTATTCCCTTGCCATTACACCAGCAGTACCTTATCTGTCTATTGCCTATCTGTCACAATTCACATCCTGGCTAATGATGTGAGCTCCTGGAGAAGCAAGCATGTCCAGTGTTCATCCAGCCCTCAGCACAACAGGGTCCCACCATGAGGGCGGCTTGCAGGTGCCACAGCAATGACAGAGATAAGTAAATCATATTTATCCTGACCAAAGGACCCATAAGGATGCAAATACTATTCAGAAAGCTACAGATTAGGTAGAAGGCAAGAACAAATTAATCAACACATTTAGGCAAAATTGTATTTATTCTCCAGGAGACTTGCTAAAGCCCTGGCTCCTAAAAGCCCTGATTGTCAGTCACACCCAGGCCTCTACAGGGAAGTTTTAACCTCTTCCTTCAATCTGAAACATGACCAAACTTCATAACTCACATTTCGTGGACGGATTGGAATTCGCTTATGATTCATGTTCATTCCTGGAATGATCACGGACATTTTTCTGGGACCCTTAAATCCTAAGATATTTGTTTCCTGAAAGACAAGGAAAACTATTATTTTCAGTAAATGAGATACTTCACCTCAGGGAAGGAAAGACAGCAAAACTGAACTTGTATTACCATTTCTACTAGTCACTAGAATTTTGCTGGCTACAACTGTAGCAGCAGTTACATATTTGCAACTTTGTTTAATCACTGGAAGTGCTTTCTCGCCCTTCTCATTTAGAGAACACTGTTAGGAGATATGCATGCTATTAACTAATTTGGAGTGCATTTCTTACCTACCAAAATATTTACAACAAAATTATACAAGTGCAATTTCCAGGCATATGTTTTTTGCACCTGAGGTAGTAATGTGTTGAAATATTGCTAGTGAACAAGCCTTAACCATGACAGAAGGCAAAATATCTTTGACTTGACTCTATGTTGTCTGTATATCACCAGTTAGTCTAAAATATTTCTGAACAATGAATGACATTTTTCTTGAGGTGCTGTTATTTGTGTTTAAGAACACACCAACAATTTTCTCTCAAATCATACTGTTTCACAAATGTTTAAGAACAAACCCAGGAAGGGAAGTATTCAGCAGCTATCCCAAGCTTCAATCTTAAGCAGATTTTTCCAGAATACTGAAGGAGTCTGCTCCAAGTGGATTGAGTACAAAAAGCAAAGGAAAAAAGTCCTGGTACTCTCAAACCATTCATTTAATAGTATCAGCCAAAATCCAAGGGTCCATTTAAAGTGTTCTGTAACAATATCCGTGATAACCTTTAAAATTCTTAAAGGCCAATTAAAAGCCAGAATCTTTTGGAAGTACTGTATTGATTGACAGAAGTGATACAGCTTCTCCTAACACATTAACGCATTTTGCAGACACAGACAAAGGTCTTTGGAGCTGAAACCTCTATTACGTCACTTCAAAAAATCTAGGGGCATGTATAAAAATGAGGGTACTGATTTTCGTATTTAAACTTTACGAACTCCTTATACATAAAAGTCCAGAATTCTGAAAAGCTGACTTTATATTAACTGTCTGTGATCATTTTAACATCTTGCTGTGTCCAGCTAGGTAGGGAACTGAATACTATGTACAAAGAAAATATCTAGTAATACTTCTGTCAACAGGCTAGTACTGGAATTATCACATCAATTTTTTCCCAAGTGCCCTTAAGATGAAGAGCAAAAGCAAACAATCAAGACACTGCTCCAGTAGGCTAATGCATCTTTAAGCTTCTGTAAGAAAAGTAAAAACACCTGTGAGAAAAATAAAAATCCTTACACTTCACAGCAACTGTTTCGTAGAGAACCTCAAATTTTACTCAAACTGTAGGACTGGAATACAAAATAATGCGACATGAGAACTCTTATGTAATTCTGTAGTCTCCACAAGTGCCTCCTTCTCTGAATTGTATACTGAGGTGATTCACAAGAGCAGAACTCTAAAACAGAGCTAGAGTGAATCACAATTTATCTTGGAAACACATCCTTACCACCAAGAAGCTGCTACTGAAAGAATACCAGCTTCCTCCTATCCCTCAAAATGCCTTTGCTTCTGCAAAACCTAATTCTGTTTCACAGGGTACTTCCAGTTCCTTCTCAGGGTCTACCAGATACCAGCTGGGCCAGAGGCAGTTCATTCTGTGGCTGGCTCCATGTAAAGCATGTGTGACTGGCCACACACTGAATTGGCCAGATAAGAAGGTCATAAGGATGTTTGCTTAGATGTTTCTCCCACTGCTGACATTGTTTTGTTGAGGTTTTTTTTTTCATTAAACTGTTAAGAATTTATCTGTGAGGCCTCTGCCTCTTGTTGTATCTGGTTGAAATTGGTCACTTGGTTCCAAAGTTAAGTGGAGGAGGCTGGCAGCAGCACGATTTTGCAAGCTGTGTTTCCTTGGTAACCAGGCACAAAGAAAGGGGCACAAAGGGAGAGGCAGTACTTACATAACAAATAGCTGCAAGCTCCTGTCTTGTATGAGCCTTTTCCACTAGACTTTGTGCCTTGACTGGGTTAACACCATGGTCATAAACTGTAAATTTGGTTCCCATGAGGTTTGACCTAATGGCAGGTTATGGAAAAACACAGAAAGAGGCATCAGTAGAAAGTTTTGTCATCTTCTGAAAGTATTTGTACAACACAGCGAAAACACACATCTCCTGCCATCTGAATCTTCCTGCTGCCAGCTCAGTAAGGAGCTTCTATGATGTGCCCATGTGATCCTGTAACCTATCCTGGAAAAGCATCTAGACAATTTCTTCTGAGTTGCCACAGTGAATGGTAATGCTGAAGAAGGCTGCCAATCCAAGTGAATACAGATTACATGGAGCAGAACAATGCAAGTTCATTCTCTCAGAATTTAAACCAGATTGCTAGTCATAACCATAACTCAATTAAAATCCTATCTCAACTGTCTATAGTTTTCATCTGTGGTTCTCACCTGAGTTTTCCAATGAAGCTTTCCCCTTTCCGAGATAAATCAGTTGGATCAACTGATATGAGGTAATTGGATGTTTTGCTCTTCTTTCTTTTTCTCCCTGCAAGAAGGAATGTCTGGAAAAACAAAACTTCGATCAAGACCGGTGCTTCGTAAGAATGCAGAGGCATTGCTATCCAAATTGTTATCTCTCCATTTCCTGTATGCACTCCCTCTTTTGTTTTGTGCTAGTATTACTGTGTCCACAATTTTGTTCTCTTCCAAAGTGCACAGACTTAAATCCTATCCCTCCATCAGCTCACTTGGCAGTCTAGATTTAATGAACCTTTCCTTTCTAGTCTTCCCTCCTTTTCTTCTGGAGCAACTCAGTCTTCCTGTCTTTTTTAACACTCAACATTTTTATTCTTTTTCAATTTCATCTTTCACAGTATTACGGCTTTTAAACAATGATACAATCCCAATTACATGCTAATTCCCTCCTTAGTACCTTGGCCAAATATATCCTGTTCTCATCTGCATGATGGCTGTTCTCAGCTACTGGTTTCCTACCAAAAACTCTCTTGCACCAAAAATATTTTTTGGTAGGAGTACAATAGCCAAGATAATTTGTGCTGCTTCCAATACCTTTTTGTTGTCATCTCTTTCCAGATGCATGTAGTAAGTAGGGAAGAGCCCTCGGTCCATTCCCTTTTTATCTCTAGTGATTCGACACTTGACACTAATTCCACGGGGTGCAGGGCGCAATGCAAAATCCTCCAAGTTCTCTACTTCTCCCAGCTGTGCATCTGCCTGAGGGGATGGACTACAGGAAGCACCTGTTTCCTATGGGAAGAAGCATCATATTAGCATATTAATATCAGATCAGAGACTCTGGTGTTCCATAAGAAAATAGTGCTTTGTTGAAACATAAGATATCATGTCTCCAGAAGATACAGGGGAAAGGAAGGTTAAACAAGATATCACCTGTGTTTCCTCAGAAGAAAGCAGCTGAAGGTTTTATTCTAAGGAAAGACTAGGTCTCCAAGGGGAAAAGAGAAAAAGTACCCATTAAGCAGACATGAGTGATTTGCTGGAAAGGGAGAAATAGGATGAGATGCTGTAAATATTCTAAGCAAAGGACCTCTTTGCTTTTAGAACTTCAAACGCTATGGAAGATAAAAGAGTAAGATAAAGCAGGACTGATGGATGCTGCAGTAAGACGGGCTGGGATTTTGTGACTGAAATGAGTGCTGAGATTATGTTGGTACAGAACAATAGTAGAAATGGAGTAAGCTGCTGGTGGAACCATATCAAGTAAAGGTTGGAAGAGCCTTAGAACAATGTGTATAGTCAGGATGCACAGAGTAATCAAAGGAATTAAAATTGTAATGGAAATCTGGTAGAGGTCAATAAAATATTTTTTTTAGAGGTAGCTGAATCCTGTGAATTGTAGCACCCAAGAGATTCCTCTTTGACTGGGCCTTCAAGATGAAGTTGAAGGTTTATCCCCATTCCTAGCTACAGCCAGTAAGAAACCTGAGTGAATAGCACAGACACACATACATAGATTTGAAATTCACTGGAGGGTCTCACCCCTTCCCCCCTCCAGCACCCACCAGCCTGTATCTCCAGCACTTTGGACCCACAGCCCAGTCTCCCAAGAAGCTGACACCCAGACCTGTTGCACTACTATTGCAGGGCATCATACACAGTCACCTCACAAGTACACTCAGGTGGGTCTCCCACAGCATGGACTTTGAAGGGTGTCCAGCATCCATGCTCAAACCCCATGGTCTTTATCTGGTCTGAGCTATCTCAGACCCTGTGTCTTCCTGATGCTGGTCTCTTCCAACTCACTGGCGAGTCCAGCACATAATTTGTCAACATATGTATGTATGTGTGTATGTATATCACACACACATACATTCACATGAGAAATAGAAGTGGAGTTTCAGAAGAGAGTGAGACATGCTGAAGTAATCAAGGCACAAGGCTTAGGCAGACAATAATACTGTTCTGTAGTTGTTTACACATATCTGATGCCTTTTACCCCCTTTAATCCCTGTCTTTCCATGCTTATTACTCCCTGATCCACCTTGATACCCTTCTTTTCCCTCTTAAGTTTCTTCCACCAAACATCCCATATGATCTTTGTCCAATCCCAGCATTCTCTGTTCCATTCCAGAATTCTGTTTCTCTTTGTATCTCACAATAAATGCTACAAACCTTCAGGAAGAAATCCCTCTTATATTTGCATGGCATTTCAGAGCTTCTCTGAGTCATTTTGGTGAATTTTGCAGAGACAATGGCCCAGTCTGTCTCCTTTAGGGGTGATAGTGCTGACTCACTGTGTTCCCATATTCTCTGATTAGGCTCCCTGGGATCCTCCACCCACAATTGTTCCTCTGATCATTGCTAAGTCTTTATGTTTAACTCAGTGTCCCTTCAGTCAGATAGCCTGACAATCTTGACCTTACTCTGCTTTCAGGGAATAATATTGCTGGCTACTGTACTTGCAGCTGCTGTATTTTAACCCAGTGCTCCAGGGGTTATCACTAAAATCAGGCAAGTGCCCAGTGCTTATCAGAAATTTATTTCAAGACACTTACTGCAAAAGACTTCTCGCTGGATGCAGAACTTGGCCTCTCAGATTCAGGGTATGGTGAATGAGATACTGGTCTCTTACTAGCTTCTTCCTCTTCTGTGTCCTCCTCATCAAAATTCAAACTGCCTGAAATTCCTGTCAGAATACAGGATTAAGCACGTAATCTCTGAAAGAAGGTGTCACGAGTTCACGGCATCACTAATTCATATATGACTCTTGGATACTTATTCACACTCTTAATTTCTGGTTTTTTAACTACTGAGTCTTAATTTCTGTTTCAACTGCTGATTTTCTTCATGTGCTGTATCTCTTCCTGAGCCTTGTAATTCAAATTCCTACTGATATTTTGTAGCAGTCACTGTGCAGATGATTAAGCAGCTGTGAGGCCTTCATTAAAATGGATTTTACTTGATATTCCATGACATAACATATTGCTTAGTTTATGCTGTCATTGAATTAATTTTGCATATTTTCATGCAGAAAAGTCCTCCATGTCTTAAGAAAAACAACAATAAAAGGAAATCCAGATCAATATGCTGACACCTATCCCATAAATTGAACTCTGTAGAGTTTACATCCTTTACTATTTCCCTCAGTCTTACACAAGCTGAAACAGAGTATGTCAATTTTTCAGTAAGTGCCCCTCCTGTTCTTACATCAGTACCAAAAACTCAGCTCCATAAATACTAATAATGATTTGATTTCTAAAACTGAAGGACAGATTGAGAAGTGTCAGGATTTATTTAATCTTAACCTAAGCACAGTCATGTAGAGATCACTGAGGGTATATAACTAAAATAACTCTGCATAAAGACATTTATGAAGAGGCTTGGTACACATCACTATTTGGTGTGTGTCCTTCCACTTCGAACTGCATCATCAATTGGTCATTAGGAAGAAGTTCACAGAAAGGGTGTCTGGGAGTTGGAAAGAGCTGCCCAGGGAGGTGGTGGAGTCACTGCCCCTGGAGGTGTTTAAGGGAAGACTGGATGTGGTACTTAGGTGCCATTGTCTAGGTGACAAAGTGGTGTTAGGTCATAGGTTGGACTCAATGACCTCAAATGTCTTTTCCAACCAAATTCATTCTGTGCATCCGAGATTTTGTTCTGTGATTCTTTTAATTTGGCTGTAGAAAGGAAATTACAGACAGTGAATATAACCTGCTTAACTGAATTATTTTCTGAGAACATATACTATAACAATGCTCTGACATGGCACTGCAAAGGGGCACTGCTGGAAGTCTCAGATAAAACAGAAAAATCCAGTCTTAACAACCTGTCAGTAAACTTCCCAAGGGACATTTGGGAAGAGGAAAGGCGTTCACCCTGGTACTCCAGCCAATTTCAAAATTCACTGTTTATATTCTACCTCCACTAATTTCCCCTGAAGTTACTGGATATTCTCTCCTCTTTCCTTTTCTAACTCTTGTGTAATGTTGCTATCTGTGGGTAAGCAGCTGTGCCATCTGAAAACTGGATGACAATACCTCTGTATGTGATAGTACCTCAATACCTGCAGTGTACTGGAAACATTCTGGGGGACAAGCTCTGCAAAATAAAAACAAGCTGTATACTAAATTAAACACTAGCCATTATTTTACTGCAAAGTGCTTAGGCTGCATGCAACAAAAAAAAGGTTTCCTGTAGTACTGGCAGCAAATTAAGATACTTGGTAGACGGAGCTTGACACTCCACTAGGAAATTACTCAATGGGATATAACTATTGAACATCTAACTTGAAAACCACTGACTGTGTCAGCCTCTGACTCAGAAAAAAACACCTTTCCTGTTAGTCTCCTAAAGAGTTAAACCATGGCATTTACTGAAGGGTCCTGCTGTTGTGAAAATATTTAAGCACCTTATCAAGACAAAACATATCTGGAATAAAAACACCCCAGACTTTAGCAAAATGCGGTATAGCATTTTGTCAGCAATTTCCTTGGAAAGATCAGAAATTATACAGTACACTGAGAAACACTTAAAATATAACTGGTATGGTTCAAATAATTTGAGGAAAAGGAACTGCAGCACCACACTTCCACATGCTGTAGAATCTAGTAGCTCTTTTAAAAGTGATATCCTACAGACATTTGTTTCATGATTCCTCATTTTTTAATGCCACTGAAATAAAGTTATAAAAGTAGAAGAGCCCCAAAAAAGACATTTACCCATTATTAACTCTTACCTCGTTTCTGTAATATTTCTTGCAGATCTGGCTTGCTTGCTGTGTCTGTTACAGCCTCTCCATCATTTTCCTTATCTGCATTGTCTTCTGGTTTAGTAGATCCAACAGACAGAGTTTGGAGCTTGGTCCCCAAATCCTGCACTTCTGATTTCAGGAAAGCAGCTGGTCCATCAATGCCTGCAGGCCAAAATGAAACAAAATTCCAAAGTCTATTTTTTTATGGCCAAAGGTGCATCCCAGGGTGGTGGCTCTTTTCATCTTCCCTTCCTCTAGCATCTCTTCAAAGTACTGAAATATACTTTTTCAATATTTTTCAGAAGGCTTGGGAGGAGTCAGGCCTGACTGGCACAGACTGCCTATTACTTTAAACATATCAGTTATCAGTTTCTCCCTATTTAAATATAGTGATTGTATTCACATTTTTACAAGGGCTTAAGCAATTAAAACAAGTTGTATTTGTCATGCACATTGATAGTTTTCAATTTATTTGCAGACACCTCCCTTATTTTCTTTCCCTTCATGTTGTTTGTTTGCTCCTGTGCCAGTGAGTACTCTACAGTGAACACCACAAATCAATTTGGTAAAAGTATCCACAGCCATAGACAGAAAAAAAACCCTCTATCTCTGTTAGAAATTTCCATGTTTAAACCATACAACACAGTCGTGTACCACACTTCCCAATTGGTGGAAGCATCTTGATGTCAGGGTCTGGCATAACACGTAATATGTAGCACACAACACCTAAGTGTAGTTCCAGCTTTGGATTTCTTGTTTTTCCACTGTTTTCCTTCTTAAAACTCTACTGCTTTATCTAGGCATTGTATTTCTGACAAGCTTACTGTTGTTATCACTTCTTACCAGGACTTGCTTGCACTGAGGAAGCCTCAGAACTATGAAAGGTAGTGAATGAGCAGTTTTGTTTTCATTTGAGCCTTACTGAAGACTTCTACCTTAAGAGTTATACCTATCTTATCTCTCATTCTCTTCTTGACTTGAAAGGGCCTTTTAATAGAAGCTTTCTTACACCTGATTTTAAACACATAAATGCTACCATAAACATCTCCACTTTTCTTCCCATCCTATGATCCTGAAAGGCATCTGGAGAACAAGAAAAATATTCAAGAGAGAAGGGATAAAACATAGTTCCAACTGTGATCTTCAAGCCAGGTAACACCCCTTGTTTGGAGGTTTAAAATTCTACTGTGCATATTAATTTGCTATCAATACAAGGCCTGTATTATAACACCCTGCAATAGCACACATCTCAAAGCCTTAGAATGTTTCCCATTACTTTCTTAAAAGGCTGATGGGATCCTGGCTCTCATAAACAACTTCCTGACACTTCCACTAGAATGTAAGGATTTCATTGCTGCTCTTTTTATCTCCTTGTGATATGGGAGGCTTAAGGCTCTCACTATTGCATTTCTTTTCACTCCTAAAATAATGGTCACTATTTTTATGCAATGTTTTGAGGCCACCAAGTCATTGCCTTTGGCCCTGATAGCACTTTGTGCTTGTGACTTTGTGGACCACTATAACCTGTAATGTTTCAGTTGTCTGAATTAAGCCCGTAAAAAACAACAGATGAGGTAAAAATCATCAAGAGCCTAACACAGTGTTCACAACACTTTTTGTTTGCTTTTTCCACTTCATCATTCAGTCATATGCAATCTTGAGGTGGAGTATGCCATGATACCATAAGGAAACACCATACAAGCAGTCACTACTGAATTATTTTCTTTATCTTACAGCTTTAGAAGATGTTTTTACTTTGAATTTGTATGTCCCCACCTTTATAGAAGTTGTCAGCCCATTTCTACAGTTCTTCTAGCCTAACCCAAGGGAGAGATTACTCAAGAGCACATGAAGATTTACAGCTGTCACCAAAATCAAGGTGAGGTTTTTGCTTGCTTTCACAGTTTAGTATTGCTCAACCATACTGTATTACAATTCAACTTTTGTATATAGAAAAGTATGTAATCATTCTTATCACTTGACCTCCACCACAGCAATGTAAGCACCCATCTGTGACATAATGCATGCACTGGGATTTTGGAGGACCCTGTTGCAATCAGGTTGATTATTTACCATGTAAAACAACATCACTGTGGACAGGGGTAGGAGTTTCTACTAAAGGAGTCTGCTCCTCGCACCCTTTGGGCTTTGACCTGCGTGGCTTGGCCTCAGGATTTGGCTGCACCATCAATGGATCGAGACGTTTCTTCCTCTGCTTCTTCTCTAGAAGGGCTCTCTGTGGAATAAAGAAAAACAGGAAACAGATGAGTAACCACATCTAGAGAGGCAGAATCCATGCCTCAGCCACTGGCAATGACATGTCTCTGATCAGAATGTCAAATAAACCTGAAATATTCTTGCAAGCTCTTACAAAAATCCTGCACACAGATATCACCATGGTTTTGGAGTGAGATACTGACTTTGATTCTCCACGAGAGGTTGACATGGACACCTCCTTACTTTCTGACCTGTCTTGAGACTACCAGTTAAATCCTTTCACCCAGTCTCAATTGCACCAATCCTTAACACAAATAGACAGTTTCAGCAGTCATCCATGATCCAGTATGAAAGTCAGGAATTGGAAAGGAAAAGGTTTTTATCTCAAAAGTGATCACCTAATCAGGAAAACTTAAAGCAAACAGTTCCTAGAAACCAATGTTGAGAGATAGAGAAAGAGACTTAAGGTGGGGAGATAAATAAATAACAGTAACTAAAATAGAAACGACCCACTAAAAAGAAATTTTACCTACCTTGCAAAATTTTTCCATATAGTTCAGGACTGAAAGGAAAGACTGCTAAGCCCAAATGCTAAAATTGAAAACATTATTTCTCCAAGATACGTATACATTTGATACTTAAGATTTCCTACTGAACAAGAACAGAAACAACTTCTAGACTTAAATCAAGGCAAAAAGGGACATGTTGCCATTTCAGATAGACCTGTTTAGTCCTTAAAAATACAGGTGGATGTATGAAGACGGAAAAATAATATTCTAATATTCTGCACCATTATGCAAATAATGTGCAAGCTCCTTACGGTAGATGCAGTTTGTGTCTCTTAGGTACCTGAACAACCCTGAAAATTGTTTTTGATGACAGAAACCATTTCTCCATCAAATTATTCTTAGTCTCAATGCACTACCAGGTAAACAATTCATCAGTACCAACAGTACAATCCACATGAGACAAAGACATTTTTGGAGCCCTTTTCTCTCCCATTATTCTTTTTCTCTTGTTGGTTTTTCCCTCTGCTATTAGCCTTTTTATCTCAACTGAGATTAGTTTCTCAGGCAACCTGTCCCTGAGGAATTCAGCATAACTCAGCCCTTGATTCTTTTTTCTGTCTGTTTTTTTCACTTATGTAAAAGAAAAAAAAAAAAAAAAAACCCAAAAAACCAAAAACCCAACTACCCACAACCCAAACAAAAGCAAATATACAAAACCTCAAACACAACAAACAAACACAAATACCTTGAAACAAAATTACTTTTTTTATTTAAACTCCAAATTACCCTTTGAAGACTGGACTGCAGTACAGTAGTGTTTTCTACTGCAGAATTATTTACAAAGATTATCCTGCAGAGCAAAAATTACACAGAATTCCAAAGAGATTATCCCATTTGTCTAGAATAAGAAAAATAAGCAGTAAAGTCAAATTCTCAGAAATTGCTAAATCTGTGTTTTCTAGGAAGGTAGTCAGACCTTTCAGAAGAATTTACATTGGTTTGTATTGCTTGTTCCTTTTTTAAATTAAAGCTGAGGAAAAGTAAAAAAAAGTCATGATAGTTTATAATTCTCCAAAGAAGAAAGGAGCATTATACTCCGAATAAGGATTTGAGAAAAATTGTTATCAAGGCTTCTCTACCTGACAAATATGCAAGAAAAAAAAACAAACTAACAAAGCTCAAAAAAAAACCCCAGCAAAACAGACACAACCTAAAGGCAGTAAGAAAGTAAGAAAATATACAGCTACTGTTAGAATGCAAAAGTGAATTTGGGATCAACATGGGATATAGTAATTTCAAGAGTTATTTAGTGGATCATTCTATTAGATAAGCTTTTTTTAAACATTTCACTGCTCACCAGTCTAAATTTTAATTTTTATTCTTATACACTGTGTTACATCAAAGGGTTTCTTGGTCTCACCAATCCAATAGGATCAGCTTATATTAAAACAGTTTACTGCTGGTAGATGTGAGTGATCTTCCTTTCTTGCAAGAACAACAGGATAAACAGAAGTGACAAAACTTGATAGTAACTTATTTTTTTAAAAGAGGCTTCTCTTTACCACTTTGCATACTGAGATGGAAAAAATATGTGCAAATCCACTGTCAGGACCGCAAACAGTAGTTCATTTTCTCTCCATACGGTGGCAGAGCAGCCTGCCCTTCACTACCCCGTATTCCCCACCGTATTCCACTAAGGAAGCAGAAAAAGGAAACTGATATTTTGTTTCTTTTTGTCTACTAATTAGCCTTTTCCTTCAGCTCTGTGTTACAGTAAAAATTCATATAATATCACTACATAAAACGTAGATAGCTCACGAACAGGACACCAGAACACACAACCCATTAAATAAATAACAAATACTAATTATCACTATTTGCTTGGCATTTTGTGCACTCCATGAATTAAATACTTCCAGAAACACCTTAGAAAACCATAACATCAGAGTATAGGATAACTAGAGGATCACAAGCCACCAATTCCTGTTCAAATGAGCTTCCAAGAAGTCACATGAGAATACCTAGTGTACTATTAAGACAACTAGTTTAGCATTCTCTTTCTCTAGCTGTGATGGCAGGAAGCTGATATACAGGAAAGTTCCAACTACTCCAGCCTTGAAGGTGCAATCCTGTGTTACTTATTGGTTGGTACAGTCCTAACCCCAGCAGGCCATGCAGGATGGATCCTACTTAGGGAACGTCCTCTCCTCTTCCAGCTGCCCCTTAGCTCACGCTGGGGCAGCGGTGACAATGGCAGCGATGGTGGCATCAGTGAAACTCCACGTCAAGAGCAATGCACCACACCAGGTGCATGCAGAAACATGCCAGGCTTCGTGCTGCCGCTGCACAGGGAGATGGCAGCATTGCACTTGGAGCTGCAGATGCCTAAGAAGACTCAAAAATCTCCTACTAATGAGGAAATAAGCACTGCCCGAGCAACCACATGATCTTGCCTCAAGGAAAAGGCAGTAGTCCAGGAGAAAAAAGCATCCTGGCAGGCAGAGCTGGCCCACAGATGGAACTTGATGTCATGCACAGTTATAAATAATATTTTACCGCAATTACAAGGTTTCCAAACCCATCATAAAGATGGATGGACAGGCATGTCTCTGCTATGGCTTATTCCAGATTTTCTGTATGACCAGAGATTCTATATATGATCCTGCTGGATTAAAACATTTTGCATTTTTAAAATTCCAATTCCTATAATTGTTTATGACAAATTAATCAAGTAAGGCATCAGTTACAACCAGCAGCAAGTCCATAATATTTGGTAGTGATTTGCTATTGACCTTTGTTTCTTCAGAAGGCATAGTACTACTCATGTAAAAGTAGACTTTAATATCCAAAACCTAATTCTAAAATCCTAAATTAGAGATTGTTAGCACTTCTCAAGAAATCTCATTTGTGAAGAGCAAGGAGTTAAAATATATTTTGTGAAATTTTCTAGCTGTTTATTTTGCAGATGATTGCAATCCCAAACAAATCCAAGAAAGATAGAAACAAATTTGCGAAAGGAAACAAATTATTTAAACTGGCCTCTTCATGGTGCAACTGACAGCTGCTCTGAGTGAATTCCACCCAGCCCAGCAGGTTTTTTTGGAGGAATAGCCATGCATCCCCATGGCAAGGCCTGACACTAAGCAAATCACTGTACCCAGCATTAGGAGATTATTATTATTATTTATTACCAGCTTATGACCCAAGACCAGTTCTAAACCAGACCCTGAGGTTCATCACCAAGCAGTAGACCACCCTTAGTTTTGGAACTTCTTACCAAATGGCATTTGACACTAAATGCTCTTTTATAGCTTATTTGAATTAATTATATTTTTAAATAAATTGTTTGCTTTAAACAAGGTCACTTGATAGTCTACAGATAAAGGACTACTGTAGCTTCCACAAATATGACCAAAGATAAATTTTACCTCTTGACTCTGAAGTGTTTTAGATAAATGCCTATATAGACGCAATAATGTTGGTAATAAATTCAGTGCCTGAAGTCAAAGCCTAGCAAACTCAGACTACAAATAATAACCAGGTTCTGGTAAAGAGGATTATTACCCACTGCAACAGCTCCCTGAAGACTTGTGTCTGGACTTAAAAGATCCTAGCTGAGAAAATGCCTTCCTAAAACCCATACTTTAATTTGAACAAGATGAGTTTAATTCAAGACAGTGATCTGTGGTCCATGTGAAATGGCCAGCTAAAGAATCATGACTCTCATATTGTCTAATCTATTTACAAGCATTTGAAATTTCACAGAGAAAGAATATTAAGGGTGGATACTTCATTGCTTTGAAGAATATGGTAATGTAAGCATCCAGCAAACTGTACTTCAGAAACTGAGACCTATAACCTAATAATTGACCCATGCCTGACTGTAAATATTTTCACTGTAGGAAACAAAAAAAGGTCAGAACAGGCTGGAAATCCTTCTCAACAGCAGTGTTAAAGAGATCATTCTATAGGTCAGCGAAACCATTCCTTTGATGCCTAAAACGGATAATTCCCTGCAGTCTTCCCATCTTTTGATTTATTCCTGCTCTCTAGTGACTCAATCCAAATGAAATAAGAGAACATATGAAAAATACATTTATCAAACACACGAAATCTACAAGCCATGGCAAGGTTGACTTGAACTAATGAAAATCATGAAAATCTTTGAAGTTCATTAGACCAACCATTTTTAGCACTTCAACGCCATTTCTCAAGTCTTTAGATTTGCTGTTTGATTTTCTATACTTATTTTTACCAGCTTCAGCACTATCATTTACCTGATTCTGCAGTTTCAGCTGTCGTAGTTTCATGCTTTCATCCTCAAAGATGCTGGAAAAGCAAAATAAACAAATCAATTAATTATTGCTATTAAACAGTTCACATTACAAGGACATAGGATATTTTCAGACAACAGCTTCATCATCAAGACTTAAAAATGACTGTTAGACATTACTTCCATCTCACATGAAGACCAAGACACGAGGTATTAAAAATAAAACATCATATTCTGTCACAAATAAGACTGAACTCTGGTTTAGTTTCCTTACTAAACCCTTCTGGAAAGACTTCGAAAGCACCAAAGGCTTCATTACTGGTAGATGGATTACAAACTTCTGTTGAGGTGGGGCTAAGAGACAGTTTACACCTGAAGGCTTACCACAGTCCAGATCAATTCTGTAAAGTCCCTGCTCCTTCACAGGATACCCGATTCCAAATTAATTCAGTGTTGTCTTGGAGTCAAACCTACATCATTTTCTCTTCCTGACAGATGTTCAGTTAACTACAGTTAATACCTGAGAGAATCTGTGTTTGCAACATCTGACATTAATTCCTAAAGGTAAAAAAAAGAATCATTTCCCTATTTCAGTATTTTGTAGATAACTTTCATAAGAACTCTGATTTTTTGTTCCAAGTTGTGTTCCATATAGACTTCCCATTTCCTTTTGCATGATAGTGAATTATTCCATAAAATGCAATTTAGAGCAGTTAACCCCACAAAGGGGAAATGTTAATTGACTATTAAGCACATACTCTGCTGACCACGGTTGTGCTCTTTCCTTCAACACAGTTTTGACAAAAACCTCTCTGGAAGTAAGAAGGAATCAGGAAGAAGGTACTTAATGTGGGAAACAGACAAACATTATATATTTTATTAATAGCATGCAGAAAAGCAGGGCAAGCCACAATTTCAATTTAAACAGGAAATTCTCTGTCTGGTCTAGGTATCCATAAATGTCCAATGATGTGAAGTCACAAGCTAGCAGCCAGTGCTGAATACAACCCTAACAAGGAAAACCAGAGATAGAGAGAGTGCAGAACTGGGGTTTCTGCAAAACACATGCCATGGAAATTAGAATACAGCACACAGAGCTAAGGAGAGAAGAAAAGCCAAAGTCCCCTTAACCCCTAACAAACCCACATTTGACTCAACTTCAGGCAAGCAGATGACAAATCAAAGGTCCTTAAAGACAAACTACCCCAGCAAACACAGATCCTGCTCTGGAAGGTTGAAATATGCAGAAAAAGAGTTCTGTATACACATATCATATATAACAACTTATATAACTGTATACTCTACAGTTGACACTGACTTTCCAAGAAGTAGTACTTGAAAGCAAGTTAAGACTGCCATTGCTTTTTTACTCCACAGTTTTCCTTATTTCTATACCGTTTCTTCCTATGCATTTGAAGTATCACACAACAGGTCTAAGACCTTGAAAACATTTTGTTTCTAAAAACTGATGTTACTCCTCACATGGACCTGTAATACACAGTGTCTTGGGTTCTGAAGGAATGGAGGGCCTGGAAAAATTAGTGTCTTTCTTGAATAGGGATGGAGAGCTGTGTATCCCCAAAGCAACAGTTACAGTAAAACAGTCATCTTCCCTTGAAAATAGCCACAAGAAAGAAAGAAAAATGCCACTTAAGAAAGAAACAAGCAGAAGCACATCTACTGAGTGCAGCACAATACACAACAATTGTCACACCAAACTTCAGCATAAAAGGTGACATGCTTATTATTTATAGCATAGGTGATGGAACAGGCCATCTTTAGCAAAGTCTGAAAAACAACTGAAAGTTCCACTTAAAATACTCTGAACCAAAAAAAAAAAAAAAAAAACCAAAAAAAAACCCACACAAAAGGGAGAGGGAAGAGGAGTCCTTTTCTTCTCATACACCTCCTTACTTAAGAACTTGATGACATTTGTTAATTGCAGATGAGAGTTTGTTATAAAGCAATCTACACACCTGGGATCAACAGCAGACTTACAGACACGTTCTGATGGACACAAAGGTGTCCTGTGTAGGTACAAGCTGCTATCTATGGTTTTGTTGCTTTTCCTAGCAGAAAATGTATCCCCAAGCAATTTGAGTATCTTCTTTAAAAAAAACCAGAAGAAATAAACACTACCAGTTTAGGAAATAAGTTTACAATGTTTCCTTTCCACCTGGAAAATGACAAAGTGCTGAAATAGCAGGACTCACATACATGCCTTGTGGAAATCTTCAGTGAAAATTATTTACATGATAGGTTAAAATTATTTTCTACCGAGACTGAAATAAAGTTACATTATATAACAGGAGCATAACACAGAATACACAGTGCCCCAACTCTGGCCACTTCACTGATGCTTGAACATAAAGATTCTAACAGGTCACAGAGCTTAATAAAAGGAAAAAGATAGCGATGTATTTTCTTACAATTTACTTTAAAACACAGACCAAAATTGCCGAGTTGCAGGCGAAACAAAATAAAAGCAACCATCAATGCCTGCCATTTTAAAGTGCAAGGTTTCACACAAGCAGTAAGATAAAGTCATGACAATGTAGCACTATAAATACTAGCTTAAAAACCCCTTTCACACTATTTTTTTTACTGCTTCTGCAACTTTCTTCTAGAACTTGTCATTATGAAAACATAATAACCAGTCAAAAAAGATATTTCCACACTTCAAACCTTTTTCTACTCCCCACAGCAGAGTTGGTGTTATTACAAACTTTACCAGGAAAACGCTGTGCCAGAGTCACTCCCACAGCTCACCACTAAGGAATGTAAGTGGTGTGCTAATCCAGCTGCAGGCTCCAAACAGGAATCCTCTTTCAGCTGGACTGACAACACACATCAGTGCTCGACAGACATGCCCACACCAAACCACTGTGCCCTTTGCCTTGCTGTTTGAAGGGTCTATGTGCAATAAGAAAAATTAAATATCCATCAGGAATAGGAAAAATAAGCAGAATTTCCATAGCTACAACACCACAAGTAAAAACAGGGGGAAAAATCCCTACCACAAAACCAGTTGCCCATTTACCCTTGCTAAATAAGAACTGAAAGTTTTCAAGCAGTCTGTATCAATGTCCTCTTCCCAACCACTGCAGCACAGCAGCCTACATGAGATCCTGCCCACAGACACAACTGCTACATTTACCAGAATCCATCTGCAATCCTACTGAAGCTGCAGGACAGGTAACAGACACGTGCCACAGAGAAAGGAGAGGTCACCCAAAACAGAACATACAAGGAAAGACTAATGATAGTGCAGGACACAGAATAAAAATGAGAGTGAGAAAGCCCCTTAAACAATAGTTAATAAAACATGGAAGAAGATAGCAAGATGCAAAGGGGTTCACAGATTTGACACAAATTTACATGGAGCAAAAAGTTTTATTTTTAACTGGTAGCATCTCAAATTCCTACTGAAATCAGAATCAGCCTGGTTTTCATTTCATAATCAGAAATTAAAGTGTTGCAATAGGAATATGCAACAAATTTATTATAAATCTATTTGGTCTTTCCTAACCATTTTCAGAATAGCAAACAACCACAATGAAGATGTAACCCACAAATTATTTAACAGATATTCATATATGCAACAGAAGCTTCCTTTTTGTGTGGTTTATTTTCCTTTCTGTAAAAAAAAGGCACACTACATCTATTGACAGCTCTTTCAGAATGGACATATTTTTCAATATCAATGAAATTCTGGCATTACAAACTGTGGATAAGCAGATGTAACACTCCTGTTTACATTGCAGCTTGTCTGTGTTCCTGAGTATGCTGTACTTGAAAAAAAAACCAACCAAAATACTTATGTTCTAAGCACTTGGCAATAACTACCACTGAATCAGCCAAACACAAACTCACAGTATAATCCAACTCTGAGAACAATGAAAAACCCTGATATTAAAGCAGAATGTAGAAAATAAAAGCAATCCACCAGCCCAAAAATGTTCTTCCATTCTGTCCAAGGTCCACACAAGGGAAAGGACTGAAGAATTGAAGAGAGTTCAGGAGAAAGCTGAACAAATTGACCAAGGACTGGAAAGTGCACCTCTTAGCAAGATTTCATTGTATCCTACAGTTCATCCAAGATAAAATCAATACACTCCACTGGATTCCATGGATTTGAGGGTACACAAGACAATAAACTCCAGACATAAATAACTGAAGCTAAACAAATTCAGATTGCAAATAGTTTAATTAACATTGTGACTAATTAACCATTGGATAACTCATGGAGCTATGGCTTTTCAACAGAAAACAACAGATTTTAATCAAGCTTCAATATTTTTATGTTAGAAGTTGCTGTTGTAGACTAAGGCTATGGTTTACCTCTTATTTCAGGTGTGGTTATCCCACTTGGGAGCTAAGCATTCTTCTTTCAAGTTATGTCAATTAAATCCCCTTTATATACAGACTGTTGAAGTTTAAAGAAAGCAAAAAGAAAAAAAAAGTTTGTCTTTATCATGGATCATGGACCAGTTTTGAAAGGAATTGACTGGCTGCTGTGAATAAGAGGCAATAAGCAGAGAAAGTAAGAAAAGCAACAGGAAAGAGCACCCCGTAGAGACAAAATGTTCTACATGACTGAGAACTTACTGGGAAGACAGATTTGAAATATGTCAAACAAAGGAAAACACCATGACAGTTTTCCCTGCACTCAATAAAATGTACATTCCTCATATTCCACTAAAGAAATACTACACTCAGTTTCTCCTCCTAAACAAACAATGCAGCAAAGACTTGCAGATTTAAAGGCTTCCCAGTGAGCTAAATCTATCCTGCAATTCAAGTAGTTAAAGGTTTGGTAAAGAAAAAGTAAGGTTGGCTGCCTCTTTTAGGAGGAAGGTCAAACTAGCTGACAGAAGCAAACCCCACTTGAACCTTAACTGAAAATCTGACCCAAGGGAAGGAAAGACAGCTTGTTTGGCTTTGAACTGTCCTAAATATCTTTACAGCACGTACCAGCACTGTACATGCACTCAATTATTGGTGAGAGAAACTGAGGAATTACTACCTATTTGTGCACAGCTCTAGGGAAGGTGTT